CAATTTTTTCCGTGAGATTCGCACACTCAAATGGCCAGTTATAATCAAGAATTTCGCTCTCGGCTTATAGCCGATGGTTTTGCTTTTTCGTTTGGATAACACGAGTCTGTTGGAAGGTCTCTAACTTTTAGGGTCTCGGCTCATAGCCGAGGTCGGCTTATAGGTGAAGAAATACGGTAATCAAAACAAAGCTTTACACACTAATTTTAAGGGGGCTCGAAGCTAAAATATGCCTGTATTTCTCCTTTTAGTTGTCCTGCTTGTTCGAAATTACTGAAGGTCATGTATGTGACTTCGAGTCAATAGGCATAAGAAATTTCTGGCATTTAATGAAGTACGACCAAGAGACGAGACAACAGAAAGTTTGGAAGAGTGTTCATGTTTCGGGGTTAAAAAACAACGTCGTATTCCTTAGGGTGAATATAGACATAATTACAGTGAAACAAAGTAACTAAGCAGTCTTTGGTGTTTGATAGTTGGTTTGAAAGTCGTTTGTTTTCTTTCACCAGATACACAAAGCACCTTCCTTGCTAGTGTAATCGCATTTTCTTGTATTGTGGTCGTGTTGCTCATTATAATTTGTGGGCTGATATGGCAGCGAAGACGAGTTGTTCCTAATAGGAGGACACGAAGTAAAGAAAAAGTTGACTTTGATGGCGTCAAATCTTCACCCGATCAACAGCGACGTGACCAGCCCGCTTCAGACCCGGATTTATATATGGAACTCAAACCCAGGCCTTCGAACCAGGAGTCTCATGTTCCTACTGAGTATCAGTCGTTACAGGAAAACCCCGAGAACCCCGAATATTACAATATGGTGCTTCAGAAAGAAAATGGCGGGAAACAAAATGAAGTAGTGTATGAGGAATTATGCTAATCACTCAACTAATTTTGTATCCTTTTGGTTCGGATTGTCCATCTTGTGTTATATACTCTGCTTAGTTATAATTATGCGCATGTTAATTTGTTCTGTATCGATCTAATGGATGACAGATGCATAGATGACGTCAGCTTAAACAACATCTTGCTTCTTCACTATAAAAACAAAGAGATTCCATGTTGCCGTGAGTCTGTTACTTAATAAGTCACAGAAGACGTCAAAATGTGCTACGAGGATCAGTGCCAGACCCGACTGCGCTTCGTGTTCCACTCTTTAGTTCTCACCGCATTTTGACGTCATCTGTGATCCATAACAGAACAGACACACGCCTACATGGAATCTAATTGTTAATTAGAAACGGTACTTCGGTTTGTAAAAGACTTTGTTCTTGTCTCGCTTAAAGAAGCACTTAGTAATTTGGCAATGAAATGCATACGTTTGACGTTTTCTCTTCGTTATCGTCATGATCACTCTTACTATCGCAGTGGCGCATAGAGTGCGGTTATCTGATATAGCTGTAAGGAAAATATACGAGATACACTGATAACACTAGCTTACCCAATAGATCCTGTTTGCGAATGTATTCTGTTTACTACAAGAACTTTGTTAGTTTGTGATCAAGGCAGTTTTAAGTAAGGCCTTAAAGACTTCTTCAACGTGCAGTAACCTTTGATTTGGTCCATTTGAAATTAATTTCCTATATCTGTCTTATATTTTACATGTATCTGTATAATTTTATCTTTTACTATTGATGCATGTGAAATGCCATAAGATGGAATCGTGCATAGCCAGATCTTAAAATTTAGTTATAACCTCGAATAAGAATTAAATGAAATTCATAACTTTGGGCGAGGTCCCCAAACTAAACGAAACCTCTGACAAGACGATGGCACATGTACATAAACTCACTTTTCTTAATGAATCCCTGATATTAAGTGCGATTTAATCTACAACATCTTACATCGTAAGCAGCTCGAGAATTAGAATTCAACTTAAAGTATGCTCTGAACCAGCAGTAAAAAATGAAAGAATTAATTTTGCCATTTTTTATAGAGTCATTAGATGCAAATATAGAAAACAAAGCCTGACAATGTCACATTTTTTTTTACCAGTACTGAAAGTTGTTCCTTATATTTTACCTCTTGAGGAGGGTTCTCTTTTCTAAGTCATTTATTAGACATAAGGAACGTTTTCATTATATTTTTGAGTAAACTCTTCTCAACTGTAAAGACAATGTATTGCAATTGAAAAATGTTAAGCAACAGAGTATTATTGGTAGGTGTTTGTAGATAAGAGAATGGAAGAGAGTAAAATGTTTTTGCTCCATCAGATATTTTTAACTTATAAAGTATTTACTGATTGAAGAAAATGCTTGGAGAAGTTTTTCCGAAGCAATAACATTTTAGTAAGCATTTAAAATGCACAGAACTTGGCAACAGAACAGTTGTAGCTAAGGGAATAAAGTGTTTTCACAAAAAGATTTGCCTGACCTTGGTATGTCATCCACTTCTTTTCATGCGATAACATTTCCTTGTCAAGTATATATTGTTAAAAATAATTTCCTAACACTCGCTGTTTTGTTGTCCCTTTCTTTATTCACTCTTACTACTCAAGTTATTACAACGGGGACTAGCTCTGATCTCTCGAAAAAATTGAGGGTCACCGCTTATAAAGGTGACACTTTCGGAGCTGTCAATCTCTAACCTTCGTCATACTTTTACACTTAAATAGCGAATCACGTTGGGCTACGCAGAACGGAGTTCGCATACTAAATAACTACCTTCGCGATGTTTACGCTTTACGAAATGTCTTTCTAACTTAAATTTCCTAGTCTTACAGTCAAGTTTGGGCAAAACAAAAACAAGATTAACAATATAAATATTATAATAAACTTAATAACAGAATTAAATTCATACTTGAAAAAGTATCCTAAAAGAAAATTGTCTTGAAGGCTGTTGCATAACACCAGAATAAACGCGAAATTCGGAAAAGAAAGGGCGTACCCAAGGTACCGCCCCTAAGAAAGCTACGTGCCATTCACATTAGTTATCTAATTACAAATTCAGTGCAAAAGATAAAAATACTTCACGTTTACACCTTAAGTCACCTCTAAAAAAAAAGAGGTGTCGAACATGTTAAATTAAAACTAAAAACTATTTTCCTGATCGGGAATTCAACATAGATTTAGCCTAAAAACGAAAATATGAAATAAATAAAAGTATAAAAGAAAGTTTCGTAGAAAAGGTTGTGGTTATTCATCGTGGTAAATAACGATAAAAACTAAGATTTTCGTGTGTTTCACGATGTAGTCGCGTGTGATGTAGATCGCGACATAAGGTAAAACCGCAGTAGCTTTAAACTCGTCGGTGGGTTCGGCACTGTTGTTCGGTTTTCCGGTCTTGGTAAGTTTCTGCAAGAAAGAAAAAGGATAACCATTAGAAACCAGAACAGAAGACAGATATTTTTTCTCCTCGGAGATGACAGGGTTCCCGCATGTGTCACTTTTCACTTCAAGAATACACCAGAGCAGGCCTGACACCAGAGATGTTGTATTGTATTGTTTTGTTTTTCTTCCCACCCAGCCTCCCACCCTGGGTGATTTTGCGTTATGTCATAGGGTTGCAAAGAGGTTTATTGGGCATCTATTTTCACGTTCAAATAAGTCAAAAATCACCCAGAAAAAAATTCTTACTAGATGCCAATTTTGTCTTTTAACAATATTGTCGAAAACCAGACATGCGACACAAAACTCCGTCCATTTAATATTCAGTCTTAGCCAGGGTTCAGTTGCTAAAAATATTCACCGTCGCACTTCCACTTGTCACACGTTTTGCCTGTTACGCAGCTTGTTGCCAAATACCGTTACTAGTTCGGATGCAATATCATCCAGTAACAGCCCTTATTTTCTACGTTTGATGAGGTTCCCTATTTTGGTAGATATGCATGGGAATTTGCACGACCGGTTAGTGCGAGCAGCTCCGCTACAATCAAAGGACTCTACCTACCCTTGAACCTATTTTCCACCTTCATTTCGATATTACTAGACCCAGTTTTTCTGTTTTCTTAGTACCACTGACCCCTGCTTGCTAAGTACTGTCACAAAAGAACACTAGTTATACTCTTTTATTCCGAGTAATTGATTGATAGAAACTCTATTGATCTACTGTGGAGTTTGTCTGATTATTGCTGCACTTAATAATCTGATAATGTTTCTCGAAAATGATTACTGAAAAACCCTTTTCAAGAAATCCAATTAAAATTATATTTTTCAGCAGCTCTCGCACTAAAGACAATTTTTCTTTCTCCATCCTTGTCGTTTTATTTCTTATTTTTAGGATTTGTTTGAAGAAAGTGATTGCATGCGGGAACCCTAAAACTTCAAGAATTTATGTCCTAACTATAGCTAACCTTGCCTTCGTCGAGTCTCTTTTTTGTTACCCTCTTTGGATAGGCACCCTCTGGTATCAGACTTCAGGAGTTTTGTGTTTCATTTCGTGTCACTTTTCACTTCAAGAATACACCAGAGCAGGCCTGACACCAGAGATGTTGTATTGTACTGTTTTGTTTTTCTTCCCACCCAGCCTCCCACCCTGGGTGATTTTGCGTTATGTCATAGGGTGGTAGAGAGGTTTATTGGATATATCATTGAATGTTGTTTACTTTTCGTTCGTATTCTTAATAAACTTCTCTGTGTGCCAAAAAGCGAATTGTTATTTATTTGTATCAGGGGCGTAGTTGGGGAATTCGAAGTAATTTTTATGTCGGTCGATGATTTAGTCGGTTCTGAGTTCCTCTGCATACATGGGTATGAGGAGATCTGAGAATGTAAACTAACTGCCATGTCATCTTTGACAAGGTAGTTAAATTTTAACTCTTAAGCTGGTTAAGAACTGAAATCAGCTGAAATATGAGCTACAGCCCACGGCATTGTGGGAAATATGAACAAATTCAGGCTACTGTCATTTTGTTATGGGACGAAACTACTCGGCCTACGAAGAGTCTGATTGTTTTGCAGGAACCGCGGACGATATTGTCACAAATTATACAAACCCAAGTTTAGATAGTGAGGAGACAATCTATTTCGGATGAGCTTTCTGTTACAAACGACAGGTCAAGTAAAACGATCGTGATACACGCATTCCGTGACTCACTCAATCGCGACATGGCGCAATTTAATCTTTGTTTCCGGGTAGCTTTTCTCGCTGTACTTCTTCCACTGACTTCAGGTGAGCACCATATCATTTTAAATCTATTAGAAAGGTCTATTTTCATGTTAAAATTTTCAGGATACTTGATTGGAGATTTCTTTCAGCTATGAGTGCTGTAGCTCAAGGCTTTCTCATACGGTCGCAGGTTAGTTCTCAATGCGGACAGCATTAATATCAGAAAGAAACGAGGGTTCCTCGGGATTTTGTGAGGAAAATGTCATTATGTCAGAATGGTACAGTTGAAAATCTACCTGTTTTATACATCAAGCTCAATTTGGAAGCATGGGGAATCATACGAATGAAATTAAACTTCGAATTGTTCAGCAATCAGAAATACAGACAGTTCTGAAACTATTGAGTTTGAACGAAGAAGTCGAGTGGTAAGATCTGCTTCAGAGTTTGGTTCAAGAACTCTTGGAATTTATTCCACCTTTCCTATCTACCTTAAAGCTTCTAATTTTGACCAGTCTGTATATATCTACCTTGTGCTCCCAAAATTGTACCTTTACACGGAAATTCAACTTCTCTTTGCTCCAAGGAAGGGTTAATGACCCAGGTTTCTCAAATTCACTGCAACAATTTCTTTTCCTTTATTTATATTTTGCTTCAATGCCTTTGATGCAACACAGGTGTTTTTCAAAACTTGAATCTTTCTTCATTTTCTTTAAAAATGGACACCATCCAAAATGATACCCAATGTATCCAACCATTATTGAATGTTACTTTATTTATTAGGACTGTGTTATAGTGCAAATGTAAATTTTGTTTCTATAGGGGCTTGTGTTGATTTTTACCTTGGAATGGGAAGTGGAACAATTCCAGATAGTGATATAACTGCTTCTTCAGTACAAAGCGCCAACACACCAGCCAAGAATGGTCGACTAAACTACACATCAGGATCATCATGGTGTACAGGAACAGGTGACACTAACCCATATCTACAGATTGATCTAAAGACACTTCATATCATCTGTGCTGTGTCTACTCAAGGGAATTCTAAAGCAGATCAGTGGGTGAAGACCTACAAACTGCAATTATCCACTGATGGGACAACTTGGACGAACTATACCGAGTTAGGTGGGCAGGCTAAGGTATGCCATATGGGCTGGTTGAGAATTATATGATATCTTGCCTCAATCACTGTTCCTGAGTTTTGATAATATTGATGCATTTACACCAAATTGGCTACCAAAGGAGCTATAGGTATGCTGAGGATTATTTTTACAATAACAATTCAACAAGTATTCTCCACATGCTCAGAAAATATCATGAGTTTTGTGTATATATTTTTCATTCAGCAAATGATATTTTGCATGTCTGAATTTGCAGTCAAAGAGTACCAGGAAGAAATGAAATCTAACAAATTGTTTTGAACTATATTAGTCCTCTAAATATTTACAGTGTGAAATAGCTTGTCAAAAGAGTGCTGAATAAATGATTTCTAACTACTGAGAGATTGGTGCTCTCAATCCAAGAAGTAATGAAATGATTGTCACGGGTAAACTGCAGTTGTGAAATTAGATAGAGTTCACCTCTGATGGTCAGTGAGCTATTTTTTACAATCCAGTGGTCAAAATATGATTTTTTCATGTTTACTTAGTAACCCTGTCCGTATGGACCTCTTCCATAAATGTTAGGCCTAATTCCTACATCTACATTTGTATTTTTCTGTTTGTATGAAGATTAATTTAGCCACCTAGCCCAACCATTGTGGTAACAATAAAAGTGTTTCCTGTCATAAAACAAGAGGTAAAGTAATGATGATTACTTTCCCTAGGATGAGGAGTTACAATTATGGAACTCTATAATGAGTTATAATTATTTTCCTAAGGTTTTAGAGGGAAATAAGGATAGAAACTCAAATGTCAAACATGTTGTATATGGAGTGTTAACAAGATATTTGCGATTCCTGCCACAAACACACCAGGGTGAGGTGTGTATGAGAACAGAGGTGTTTGGGGTGAAACAGACACCAAGTAAGTTTAAAAACTATCGTGTGATGTGATCTTTGCATTTGTTAATCTATGAACAAGGGTTCAAACCTTGTGGTTTTGTTATTTGGATAGGTAGCTTTAATAATACAAACCAGTCTTTGAGTGCTTGAGGAAAAAAACCCAGCCATTGTGATGAGCTTCTTATGCTTATCAACTCAGCCATGATGCACCAATTTCTGCTTTATATATTGTGGTGGATAGTTTTATTGTCGGGGCCTGTAGGGTTTTGAGCTGGGGATTGCAAAAAAAATTCCAACATACCACAAACTTTCCTTGATGATATTGCACAAGTGCATGTCACATCTTCACTTCTTTTACAGTGAAAGCTGGTCAGAAAAGTTAGGGATCCATTCTGGGCAATCACCTAGTTCGAGCAGCACAGTCCATCGTTTCATGACATCTGTTTGCAGCATTCATTTGGTTATTTTGTAAACAGTTACAGCATCATCATTTTTTTTTCCATTGACTATTTTTTGGTATTTTTCATCAATATCCTACAGATTATTTAGAAGTGTATTCAGTTAATTACACTGAAAAACATACATGTATTATGGTAATATGTGAAGGTTAACTTTAAAATTGTTACATTGCAGCATGTGATTCACAAGCAATTGGTTTGGCCAGTGGTGGTAGAATTCCAGATGACAGCTTCTCAGCCAGTTCGATATTTGCTCCCAGATATGCAGCTAAATATGGTCGTCTTAATGGAAGATGGGCATGGGAACCTAAGACTACTACTGATCCTACTGACTACCTGCAAATTGACCTTCTCTATGAGTATGTTATCTGTGCTGTTGCTACTCAAGGAAATCCACCAACCCAATCAGCAAGTGCTCAAGAATGGACCACAGAGTACAAACTGAGATTTTCACTCAATGGTACCACCTTTCTCCCTTATAAAGAAAACAAAATTGACAAGGTTGGTATGTCATGCTCTTGTATACAAGTATTCATAACAGCCAAAATTAATACTTGCAGTACAAAACTAAAGCTGCTCACAAGAACAGCAAATTTGCTTATACATGTTATAGAATATTGACAATATTCGCCAATGCTAACATTACCCACAATATACTTATGTTGCTTAGAAACCATATTGACATTACTTTCAAGAATTAACCCTTTAACTCCCAGATCAAATTTTTATTTCTCCTTTCTGTCAACCATACAATTCTTATCATGTTAGTTCAGAGAATTTAGTATTGAATCAACTAATTATCCTTAAATTGAAATTTTTCTTAGTTCTTATCATATATCTGGTTGATATTGTATTGATATTGTATGGCGAAATTCTGTCGCAGTCACTCATGGGAGATAAAGGGTTAATAGTGACATTTTCTGACCAATTACATGTACATGTAAGGATCAATGCGGAGTACACACACCCAAAAACATGTAGTGTATTAGTTAAAAATACGTTTTCATAGTTCGTAGTACAAGTGTAAAATGATGTAGCAAACACTGACCACTTCTAACTGTTTAATCATACTTTCTAAAAAAATTGCCATAAAATTTAAAGATGGAGAATGAAATGGTCCTGATCTCTCCAAAAGTCATTATCTAACCAGTGGCTTTCCTTAAGGCAAAATCCCTGGTCCTCATCCCTGGCTGAAGTATCTTAAGCTCTTTAGTTTTTAACCTAGGATGTATGCACATAACCTACATATAGCAGGTTTCCATTCTGCACATTAAAGATTCTCATTTTGTGTGCTTTTTCCAAGTTACGTATTTTAATTTTACAAATTACAGATTTTCATTTTGCAAATTGCAGATTTTAATTTTATCTCATATACCAAATTACAGTAAATCATTTACTATGCCAAGTTTCAATACAGCAACTCTTTGTATAACAGGCCTTTCCAGGAAATTCAGGAAAAACTGACACAGTGAAAAACAGTCTAACAGAATTTGCAAGTGCAAAGTTTATACGCTTTCTGCCAACAAAGTATAATAAGTTCAAGGTTTTGAGAGTGGAGGCTTATGGAATACTTTTTACTAAAGGTATTTATTTGTTCTCACTTTTGTCCCCCTGATGCAAAATGAAGTCATAATAAGTAATTATTAGGGAAATTAAGGCAGGATTGGGCAATTTACTTTTACCAGGGTGTTGTTATTGATGAATATCAAAAGAAAATGTCAAAGATGGCTGTGAAATGCTTATCAACAAAGTTGTGAAGCCTAAATCATAAAGAACATCATGGGGAAAATATAAAAATGGATAAACAAAGTCACCGCCTCTGATGATCCACATTGCTACTAATCAATATAGACTGCCCATTAGGTTTACCATGGCCGTTAATGAAATGTTCCTTTAGAAAATTTACATTTATTATCATCTAAGAATTCAAGCATACATCTCTTGTTGTTAATACAGTTCCATCACAACCTCCCACTGCCTTCCAGTTGACTGCAAGCTCTTCTACCAGCATCACAGCTTCCTGGCAGTTACCACCAGTCTTTGGCAGACACAGAAACATTACAGGGTTTAAATTGTTTTACAGAAAGAAAGGTTCTGGTGGGTCAGCAACAACCTTGCCTATTAGCAATGGAAGAACATTGAGTAGAACTGTTAGTGGACTTGACAAGTTCACAGAATACAAATTTCAAATTTTGGCCTTCACTTCTGATGGTGATGGACCAAAAAGTTCTGTGAAAGTGAAAAGAACAATGGAAGATGGTATGTGACAGTCCAGGGATAATGAAAAAAACTGTGAACCATACTTTTTTGGATTTGCATCTTCACTGTGGGTTTATTGAATATGTACCAATCTCATAGTGGGAGAACTAAACAATTGAATTAATTGATTACTTTCATTTACCAAAACACAACAGCATTTACATTCATGTGGAAAGTTAAGATGTGATAGAAGTTTTCAAAAATTTTTACAGCTAATCAAAAACACTACTGCCCAATTGCAGCTCCTTCACAACCTCCATCTAACTTCAGTGTAACTCCAACCTCCTCTACTGGTGTAACAGCATCATGGCAACTACCACCAGTAAACTCCAGGAATGGATTAATTAAAGGATTCAAATTGTTTTACAAAAGGAAAGACTCGTCAGGCTCAGGCACCATTCTTCCTATCAACACTGAATCAACTTTAAACAAGAATATCAATGGGCTCTATAAGTACACAGAGTATGAATTTCAAGTGTTGGCCTTTACTTTTGCTGGTGATGGTGTAAACAGCTCTGTTGTTGTTCAGAGAACAAAAGAAGATGGTTAGAGCAACTTTTTGTTTAATATTCTAAAATTATCATGACTTATGAAGTCCAGATACACATGCCTTTCTCATACAGTTTCCTGAGGTGAAATGAAAGTGAAAATATCTAATTAAGCTGTTTTGAGTGGGGAATGGCTATGATTTAACACACTGATATATCAGTGAGGCATGAGTGGTTAGGTAATTATTTGAAGATACACTAACATAAAGTAAGCATTCTGATTTGCCATCAAATCAGAACTGATTTTACTTGAAAGTGAATATTAGCAATTGTGTTGGCTGTTATTATAGGTTGCCTTCCTTGTGGATTTAGATCTTGACGGTGCACCCTTAGTTGCGTCGCAAATTTACAGTAGTTTTTGGATTTGATTTGGGTTTTTTTTGGCATAAATGTTTTAAAAAAGGACAAACACAAAAGCAACAACAACAAAATGAGTGACAGGTTAGCAGAAAGTAACAACTTTTTAATTCAAAGATTGAAGGAGAGTGTTTAAAACAGAAACACCCAACAAAGCAAAAACAACTGGCTAAAAGTCTGGAAGACTTGGCATCCCAAAATGACTATGACAGAAGTATTGGAACATACAAAATTCTCGAGACGTTTATGTAACAGTGTGTACTAAAGATGGAGAGACCATAAGAGTGATAGCCTTCGTGTACTGGTTGCTGCTATTAAGTGATTATTTGATTAATAATAATAAGAAGATGGCAATCATAGTGACTCGTTTTGTCGTTAGGATTGCTATCATTTTTTCAATAACCATATGGAACTTCTCAATTACAGTTCCTTCACTGCCTCCTAGCGTAAAACTTAATATACTGACTAGCAGTGAGGGAAAGCGCTATGTTGCCAAAAGGTAGGAGAAAACAGGAGTCACTGGGGTAGGAAAGGGTCACCTGAGGATCTCTTTGAAAAAATTGACCATATCCTTAAGCTGTGAGCTCAAGTAGACAGTGTCATGTACTCATGTATAGCACTGTTTTAGTGCAAAGGTACATGTTAAACTGTTTTCAGTTTCGTTTTGGTACAGGAATTGGTTTTGTTCAGTGTTATTGGAAACTATTGTTACGGAAAATTAAAATCAGCTGGGCCGATTCCGATACTAACTGTTTATAATGTAATTGCATTTACAATTCAGACATGTTTAAATGTGAATTTGCCCCCTCCTCAGGGAGGCATTAATATCTTTCTGGATGAAAACTTCTTAGTTGTAGCTGCAGGTTAGCTATTTACAGAGGTTGTAGTAATTAGGAAAATAACACTCAGTCCGATTCATTATTTAAAGATGCTAATTAAAATATGACTGCTCTATTGCAGCTCCTTCACAACCTCCTTCTCAGTTCACTGTATTTGTGAACTCTTCAACCAGTATTACAGCTTCATGGCAGTTACCATCAGTAGGCTTCAGACATGGAATCATCAAAGGATATAAACTGTTCTATAAGAAGAAAGACTCAAGTTGTGCAACCATCCTGACACTTGGCAATGGAAACATATCAGCAAGAGTTACTAAGCTTGACGAATACACTGAATATGAATTTCAAGTGTTGGCCTTCACTTCTGCTGGTGATGGACCAAACAGTTCTACTGTTTTCAAGACAACGATGGAAGATGGTGAGAATCAGAAGTGCTTTAACCAACATTTGAATTAATTATACCATCATAATTGCTCACATAAAAGTGATGTTACTGATTGATTAGTATAGGTAATCCCATGATTTCGAGTGCAATTTGGAATAAATAAGCACGAGTAAATTTTACAGACGTGCAAAATCGCACGAGCCCGTGGGGCGAGTGCAATTTGTAGTCTTTGAAAAAAAAATTTAAAGTGCATATTGATTCCAAATTGCACGAGAAAAATGATGTGATTACGTATCAATAATACACATAAAAAATACGCGATAGCTTATCATAATTATGCAGAAGCAAAGCGCGCTCATCAAGTGCAGAAATAATTTATTCAAACCCCGCAAGTGACATTGTGCTTTCGGTAAAACCACCGCGTACGATCAAAACAACAATATATAATGATATTTTTTTATTATTATTAAATTTAAATTTATACCGCGCAGTTTCTATAAAAATATTCAACTGCGCCTTACAATAAATATTAAATTAGAAATTAAAGTAGAAGTTCAAAATTACAATTCTAAAATAATGCAATTCAATTATAAAAACTATAGAACTAATTAA